TATCGTCAGCTCACTCGGTATTTTTGGCCCACAGCTGTTTCGGCGGGGTGGCGCTGGGGAAGCAAGGTTTGTTTCCGTGGCCCAGGAGGCGCTGGGGGGGAGTGGGGGGGGGAGGAGGGCACAATTTTATATTAATAAGGAAATATTTTATAAATTTTAATAAAATAAACATTATTGAAGAAAATCAGTTGTACAACTATCAAAACATGAATTATTTTCCTAATATGAAAGTGAAAATCAGCTAATTAATGTATAATTTTGTTATTATTTATATAGTCATGGAAAGTAAATAATACATGGAAGAAATGAAAGGGTTCTTTTTAAGTGGCTTTTTTTTTAGTCATCCCTGCTGGGGCCCCATCAAAACTGTTCGAATTGGGCCCCGCACTTCCTAAAGCCGGCCCTGCCTGGATGGAGGCCTGAGGGTGGATCACTTTAAGGGAACTGTGTTGTTTGGACTTCTGAGTAACCAGTAAGGTAATACTGGCCCCTACTGGGCCCCTACTGGGACCCTGGTCACACTGCCCCTCACACTTGGGAGAAGCTCCCTGAAAATGCCCACAAAACTAACTCATTATCCACCTCCAAGTTCCTCCTTAAAACTCTACTTTGCTGTGATCACTACAAATAACATGACAACTATTAGGCACCTGGTGTGCTGAGACCACAGTCTATCATGTTGACCATTATTGTCTTCTTACACTGCCACATCAATCTGTCAGTACCCGTCTGATACTTAGATTGTACACTCTGGGGGCAGGGACACTTTCTGTTCTGTGTTCATACAGTGCCACTGTCAGAACGCTGGTCTCAAGCACCAGTCTCAAACCCAGGCCCACTAGGTTTTTAGGAAGCAGCCTCACCTGTTGCACCATAGATGCAGTAGAGAGCACTAGGAAATTCATGAATGTGGATGGGCCTGCAGCTTCCAGGGTTCCACAAACTGCTTCCTGATTGGCCACATGGTCTTGACCCTTATTGGCTGATGGCTATACATATAAATTTCCTGTTTCCTTTCTAGCCTTGTCTGAGAAACATGCCACTACCTGATAGTTGTTACTTGGACCTTCTTGACCCTGCTTAGCTGCCTTGCTGTACTTTTCCCCTTGGGTTGGATCTCCTAGCGATTGGACCCCTTGTGTGAACTTTGACCACTGATCTGGACTGTCCTTTGACCTGCTTGACTCCTGGGCATTACAGCTTAGCACAATGGGCTCCTGATCAATGACTGGGGCTCCTAGGAACTACTGTAATACAAATAATAATTAAAAAAAATGCACATCTGCAATCATCGAGGAAGGGAGAGGAATTTTTCTAGGTGGTTCATGGAAATGTAACCAGCAATCATAGGATGGCCATAGACTGCATGTCAAATGCTTTCCAGGATTCTGAGGCACCTTGCCACCACCCACCCTTAGTGTGACAAAATCTTATCTGTGCCTGCTGTGGTTCAGCTCTCTCAAACCACCAGCCTCTGGCAACACAAGAACTGCCTTCAGGCCTCTGCAGGCCTTACTCTCTCTGTTTAGGTTAGCAGTATGGTGCACACCAACTCCCAAGTCCTCCAAGCATCCCTCTGGGGTGCTCAGCTCCTGCTCCACTGAATGCTCACAAACTCCTTGATTAGAGGTTCTCAAACTGGGGTGTGTGGAATGTATTTTGTGGGGAGGCATGAAAAGATTTAAGAAAAAATAAACCTTACAGCACACATTCAGAGCTGGGCAGCCAGAGAGCAGCGGCTGCTGGCTGGGCGGGCATGCAGCTCTGAAGGCAATGGTAGGTACCCTTACTTCTGTGCTGCTGCTCACCGCAGCGCTGCCTTCAGAGCTGAATACCTGGCCAGCACCCACTGCTCTCTGCTCTGCCTTCAGAGCTGGGTGGCTGGAGAGCGGTGGCTCCTGTATGTGTGTGTGTAAACTACTACAGACACAAAGAAGGGGGGCATGATCAAATAAGTTTGAGAACCACTGTCCTAGATCCACTATTTCCAAAGGAATAGTACGCAGCAGCTTGTGAAGATCTCTATTTAACATGCTGCACTTATAGTGAAAACATTGATTCAAGTGATAGCAAGTAAGAATATTGGAAACATAATATGCTTTCTAGAGCCTAAA